GTAGTGGGATTGTGGGATCAAATGGAAGGTCTATTTTGAGTTCTTTGAGGATTTGCCGTGCTTCTTTCCGAAGAGGCTGCACTAGTAAAGGTGTTTCCTTCTCTCACAGCTGTGCCAACATTTGTAGCTTTGGGACTTTGTGTTGTGGGCTATTCTCAGTGGGGATAGGTAATATCACAGGGTGGTTTTGATTTCCATTTCTCTGATGATTAGGGACAATGAGCATTTTTTCATATGTTTTAGCCATTCATCTGTCTTCTTCAGAGAAGGTTCTGTTTGTGTCTGCTGCTTAGTGATGGAATTGTTTGCTCTTTTTTTGGTTGATTAATTTGAGTTCTCTGACAATTGTAGTTCTCTACCCTTTGTCATATTTGTAACATGCAAATGTCTTTTCTCATTCTGAAGGCTGTTGACTTTAATTGTTGTGTCCTTAGCTGTGCAGAAGCTTTTTAACTGAATTAAGTCACATTATTTATTTTTGTTGTTGTTGCAATTGCCAATGGAATCTTCTTTATAAAATCTTTCCCCCGCCTGATATCACCTAGAATTTTTCCTATATCTCAATTTTTATGTCGTGTATCTGATGTAACTTCTGAAAGAATTACTTTCCCACAAGTGATAGCTGGTTAAGATTGACCCAAATAAGAATTTGAGAAAGGTTGTTTTGAGCTTTTAATTTAGGAATGTTGGACACAAAGATAAGAGAATTTGTTCTGGATTTTAATTCTATTGGTGTTTAACATATTACTTTATAATAATATGTCATAGGCTTGTTTCCATTTATTCTTTTAAAAAATATTCTGGGTTATTCTTGCTAGTTTAGGTCAGTTAAAACAATTAGTTTGTGGCATTATGTTAAATTTATAGATTAAGGAGAATTGAAATCTTTATATGTATTCTCCTATGCAAGAATGCTTATTGAAGTAGTCTTTTGTATCACTCAAACTTTTCTTCATATAGATCTTGTGCATTTCTTATATTTATTTAAGGCATTTCATCGTCTTTTGGCCATTATAATGAGTATATCTTGCATTAAATCTAAATCTAATTGATGATTGTTTGTATATGTGAAAGCTATTTTAATTATGTCAGTTTACTGAATTTGCTTATTGCCTATAACAGTTTTTCAGTAGATTCTTTTGTATACAATTATATCTGCAAATAGTTGTAATTTTACCTCTTCTTCTCCAATTTTAAATTCTATTTTCTTGTCTCTTATTTACTTGCATTGCTTGTGTTTGTACATATGTATTGGTTCTTTTATTTTTCTCTTCTAATTCATTAATTTCTGCTTTTGTTTTATTTTTTACTCTTCACTTTTGTTTGGCTTACTTGTTCATTCTCAGACTTTTTCAGTTGGATGTTAATTTTCTTCTGAGTGTTGCTTTAGTTGTATCCAAGAGTTCATGATATGTAGAATTTTCGTTATGGCAATTTTCTGGATACTCTAAATTTCAGTTTAGATTTCTTATTTTACCTAAAGATTGTTTGAATTCTTTAGTCCCATTACATATTTCTTTTTAGTCACTTTTTTGTGAGATTATGTCTTCTACATTAATTCTACTTTCTGGAAGTGATTGCAGGGTTTTTGTGGGGATTGATGCATAGTCAAGTTTTGTGAAAGTTCACATTATGGTTTGATATCATCAAAGACAGCTTACAGATATATAGTAAATTATTAGTACTCTGTTTACTTGTGCATTGTGGAAACCAATAATAGATTGATTTCATCTAACAAAGGCAAAAATGAGAGTGTGTTTGCAGTTTGGAAATCATAAATTTTACTTTCTTTGGGTGAGCTGCAGATTAATTTATAGCTGGCAAGGAGACCAGTCAGGGTATTCATATCTTAGGCACTTAGATGGATCTACAAAGAAAACAATTTCAGTATCTTTTTAGAAGACTGAGAATTTTGCTGTTGGCCTGAATGGCAAGCTGTCTCTGTATATCTGTCAGTGTCTTTTGATATCTCTTCTATTTTTATGATGCTAGGTCTGTACCATTTCCTTTCTAAGAATTTCTCAATATATATCAATTAGATATATTATAATATGTTAGGATTATTATATATCCTTTGACATCACTGATAGGTCATAGACTGAGAGAGATAAATTACTGTTTCTTTCCAACAACTCATGTTTTTCTCTTATGTCTCCTTATACCCCCTATAGGTATTTTTTTTTTTTTTTTTTTTTTTACTGTGTTGCCTTTGGTAGAGTGTCATGGCATCACAGCTCACAGCAACCTCAAACTCTGGGGCTTAAGAGATTCTCTTTTTTTTTACTGTGTTGCCCTTGGTAGAGTGTCATGGCATCACAGCTCACAGCAACCTCAAACTCTTGGGCTTAAGACATTCTACTCCTTCCTGAGTAGCTGGGACTACAGGTGCCTGCCACAACACCTGGCTATTTTTTGGTTGCAGTTGTCATTGTTGCTTTTCAGGCCCAGGCTGGGCTTGAACCCACACTTTCAGTGCATGTGACCAGCACCCTACTCACTGAGCCGTGGGTGCTATGCCCCTATAGTTTTTCTAATATGTCTGCTAAGTTACTTGAGTCACAGATATTTATAACTATTTATCCATATTATGAATTGTATCTTTTAGCATTATAGAGTGCTTTTGTTATTTTTTTGAGACAAGAGTCTCACTGTGTTGCTCTGGGTACCTGGGTAGAGTGCTATGCTGTCGTAGCACGTAGCAACCTCAAACTCCTGGGCTAAGCGATCCTTTTGCCTCAGCCTCCTGAGTAGCTGAGACTATATGTATGCACCACCGTGCCCAGCTAATTTTTGTATTTTTAGTAGAGATGGGGGGGTCTCACTCTTGCTTAGGTTGGTCTTGAACTCCTGAGCTCAAGCAATCCACCCACCTCAGCCTCCCAAAGTGTTAGGATTACAGGTGTGAGTCACTGTGCCCACCCCCCTCCCCCACTTTTTTTAGCCTGGTTTAACATTTTCTTGAATTCAGTCTTGTCTGTTATTAAGGTTTTGATTCTTGATTTTTGTTTATTTGGGTTTTTTTTTTTTCTTGAGACAGAGCCTCAAGCTGTCACCCTGGGTAGAGTGCTGTGGCATCACAGCTCACAACAACCTCCAACTCCTGGGCTTAAGCCATTCTCTTGCCTCAGCCTCCCGAGTAGCTGGGACTACAGACATCTGCCACAAAGCCCGGCTATTTTTTTTTTTGGTTGCAGCTGTCTTTGTTACTTGGCGAGCCTGGGCTAGATTCAAACCCGCCAGCTCAGGTGTACGTGGCTGGCACCTTTGCCGCTTGAGCCACAGGCGCCGAGCCTATTTGGGATTTTCTGATCTCTCTGTACTCATCCTTTCCAAATTATTTTATTTTTGGTCCAAGTCTTTCATACAACATAGATTTGAGTTTTGCTTTGTGATTCAGTCTGAAATTCTTTTAATAGTTGAATTTAGCTCATTTTCATTTGTTGAGTTGATATTTTTAAGACTTTGTTCTGTTGTATTATTTTACCTGTCTTTATACCATTAAAAATATCTCACTAGGCTTGGTGTCTGTAGTTCAATGAGGAGGGCGCCGACCATATACACCAAGGCTGGCAGGTTGGAGCCCAGCCCAGGGCCTGCTAAACGACAATGACAACCACAACCAAAAAATAGCTGGGTATTGTGGTGGGCACCTGTAGTCCCAGCTACTCAGGAGGCTGAGGCAAGAGGATCGCTTAAGCCCAAGAGTTGGAGCTTCCTGTGAGCTGTGATGCCATGGCACTCTGCCGAGGGTGACATAGTGAGACTGTGTCTCAAAAAAACATAAAAAATAAAAAATAAATAAAAATTACATTAAATTAAAAGCTTATTAAAAAGAGGAAATGGAATATGTCCTAGTGGGGTGGAGGAAGGAGTTAGCAAGTAAGCAGATAAGACAGAAGCTCTCCCCATTTTTAATCACAGATCTCTTGGAGTTACTGACAAGAATTTATGGACAAAGGAAAACACTTACCTATAAATTGCATACCTCATGAGGGGCTCATGACTCCAGATCAGGGTGGTGATGCTTACCTGGGAGCTCAGCAGTGTTTGGGGAGCAAAGATGAAGCGTGGGAGTGGACCAGGGACAGGGGCACACCACACATCCTTCCCATAGGAACTGAGCCTGGTCTTTCATGCTGTTAACTGACTGTCCTTGTTAACTTTTTTTTTTTTTTTAATCTAAGGGATTTAAAATGGATGTTGAGGATTCTACACCAACACAGTATTAAACTGAGGTCTAGATGACATTTTTCTAGTTGCTAGAGTCAGGAGTGTTAGTCCCATTGATCAAACTAGATATAAATTGCTTGAGGTAGGAAGATCACGTCTTTTACCTTGTACTTGAGAACCAGTTGTTGGTTATTGTCCTGTGGAGCTTAGGACCACCTCCACACAAAGCTTCCTGCTCTGGTTGGATTGGTTTTTTCCCTTAAATTCAGTCCTAAAGAACACTATGTATTAACTTTCTTGAAGGCTGTTGTTAAACCATGGCACTGTGCCAGAACATGATACTGACAAGACTAATTTTAAAAGTGCTTTCTGGAAGTGTAAATTCCTAATCCACTGTACAGTAAATTTTTACTCTTCAAAAATTCCATCTGCTAAGGTTTAAGTTGAATTATATTTATACTTGGGTGAACAGTTATCAATCACTTTTGATCTGTTCCATCTCATACCTTTTAACATTTCCTGTGTCCCCACTTTGAGATTAGACTTCAACTTTTATGAACTTGCATCAATGTTCAATAAATTAGAATCTGCAGCTGCTAATGTACTGATTTTAAGCTCAAAAGGCATCTGTGGTGTTCAATATACTTTTGTGGGCCATCAGTGCTCAGTATGGAATACATAATGGATGGACACATTTCCTGCCACCATGGTTATAGTCAACATCTTGATGGCTCTTAGTAAATATAATCATGCTTCTGACTTATATGTGGCATGGATCAGTAAAACTGCAGATATTTAAAGTCTGTATTTAAAATGAAACAACAAAGCCATTTTACTGAAAACTAGTTTTATTTTAAAATTAAGTGCATAGCACTCATCTAATTCCATTGGTGTAGACTTTAGCACCATATTTGTATTTAATGTCACAACACAGATACATTTGGTTTGCAGTCTATACTTGAGTAGTGTTTATTTAGTGGACTTTGGTAAAGCCCTTTATACATAACATTAATCTCTTCACAGTACATAGTTAATGATGGTCCAGTAATCTCAAAAAAAAAAAAAGCCTACTTTAAAGACTAATCAATAAATTAAACAAAACAAACCCACACAAAATTCCCCCCACCCCCCCACCCCCAAGCTAGCTAGCAGTTGAGTTGTATTTATATGGAAACATAATGCTTTAAAAATAGTTCTGGTTCTCCAGCACCCCATCCCACCCTGGGTATGCAGCAATAGTAATCAATTGTTTTATCCTACCACCCCCAAAAGATTAATCCAGTGTTCTTTAGCTTTTTTAAACATACTTGGGAAAGTATTACTAATAAGCTTTTTAAAAAGGTATATTCTTCTATAACAAGAATGGCATATAAACCAATCAATAAAAGCATTTGATAACACATTAAATTACCACAGGCACTGGCTGTTGTTTTCAAGTTAGGATCTCTATCCCAATATCTTACATTCATAGTATTATTGAGGTAGTTAAAATACTGAAAATTGGACTCCAGATTGCTAGGTTCTGAATGTGAACGTGAAAGATATATTCTATTTTGAACCCACTTTCCTCCAAATAATTCAAGTTTTATTAAGGTAAGAACTACCAAAATCCAATCAGCAGCCTTCTCTAAAGAGGAAAAGTGATACTTTTAGAAAATAATTTTCATGTTTGAAAACTGCCATGAGTGAGTGTTCTCACCTGAGTGGTTTTTTATATTAGTAAATCCATATTATGCCCTGTGTACTCTACCTGTAAAAGTTAAATCCTTTAAGGACAGGTCATTTCTCTAAGAATTCAGGTTGGCAGAAGCCACCCACCCACATTCATCTCCTGAAGCCATCTGGATTAGTCCATGACTATATTGAGCCCCTTCCCTTCCTAACAAAGGCCATTGGCTTGATTACTGAGACTCCTGCTGCATACCCACACTTTTATAATAAGTTTGTCTTCAATGCATTGTGGCATTCATGTGCCTGTCATGCAAATTCCCTTCTATTCAAGTGCTATCTTTAAAAAAACACAAACGAAAGACACATCGTACTAATTTTTAAACCAGAAAGCTTCCCTCCACCAAATCTCTCTCCCACAGATAAGAGCACAATAGTTTCAGCTATTACAATGATTTTTTTTTACTTTCTATGGTTATTCTCTGAAATCGTTTTACTCCCCAAACTGCCCTTGCTATAATGACTTTTATTGCTGTTTTCACTTATTACGCATATAATGAAATGTCCCAGGCAGCTGTAGGACCAATCTAATGAAAGTGGCAACTGATATTTCATAATCGGCACCTTTGCCTGCTTAGACTGACAAGCTGGATTCAAAGGCTGCTTGCAGAAACCTGTCTTCCACCTAACAAAGTGCTGCTCTAGCACAACCTGAGAACTACCCTGGCCACAGTCCCCTCCATGGTAAACGTATGGGACTTTATCCTAGAACTGACATTTTACAGTTATGCCTTTTTAAAAGAGTAATACCAAGTCTGAGTATATCACAGATTGCACTGAGAAATGCAAAACCTATATGTGTATTATGAGACACAGGAACTTCCACTTTGTTCATTCTGAGCTACACTATTATGATCTCACTTGAAAACACATCCTAGCAAGAGTATTTTAACCTATGTTATAAAGGTAGTTCATACTATAACATTCCCAAAGCATGTTGCATTACAGTTAAGTGTTTCCAAGTAGTAAAAATTCCCTGAGTTAAATGTGTTGTAATTCTAAAGATTTAAGGTTGATCACTTAAGGAGAAAAAAAAATTATGACCATGATTTTAAAATAACAGACCTACTCCACCCTTAATTTTAGTACAAAAATCCAGATACCTATTCAGGATAGGAAGTTATATAGAAACATCTAAAAAAAATTGCCTTTTACTGCACAGACTTAGGTATAGCCTAGCAACTCATGAGTTTAGTCAAAAATTCATCTGTAGAATAAAAATAAAACTCAAAACTGGAGAATTAAAAAAACCTCATCAAAAACTAATACTGTAACTTTCCTTCATAAAAGACTGTTTGGCAAGTCCACAGATAAATATTAGTCTTTGACTTATAAGCCAACATTAGGTCCAGAACCTACCACAGGTCAAATCTCAAAATGGCAAACTGGAGTCTGTCCAAATTTTTCTGTTATATTAAATATTTTTGAAATATTTGGACCATCAGCCAGGACTTGAACATTTTTGTCATGCAGAGATTTGTTGCAACAGAATTTGACACACAAACTATTAAAGTGTTTTAGTCCTCCCAGGTATTCACGTTACACTGAAAGAGATATTCAGTCTTCCTGGTGCTGGTACCTGACGAGTTCTGATGTCATTTGGATCCCTTTCTTTTTTCCGAGAAGTTTACAAAAGCCCACCCAGAACTTCCAGTCACAAAGCAGTCTGGGCCAGTCATCACCTTCACACACGATCACCTTTCAAAGCATGGAGTGATACAAGGGTAATGTTCATTTATCTGATAACTCCGGTTATATGAAACACTTAGACAGGGTTTAACTTCTACTGGTATTGCCAGTGACATCCCAACACCAGTCTGCACTTGCCCAAGGCCCTGAACACTAGTTTGGAAGCCAGCAGGACATGTCTGTAGTGTGTAAGATGAGGTGTGTGTGGTAGATACAATCTGCTGGCAGCCTGGTTGTTCCGATGTAGGATGGCGATACTGCAGCGAGGTCTGATGTGTCTGATGGAGATACTGAGGTTGCTGAAAGTGAACTGGCCGTGAGGGCTGGGAAGCTGTCTGGAACACACTTAGCTGTGCTGACTGAGGTCCTGTTTGTCCTCTCTGTTTGTTTGCTTCTTTCACATCATTATCGTGAGCACTAAAACATGGAGAGAAAGGAAAACTATTAATAAGGTTACTTGAGAAGAATTTGCAGGAAAGTCATGTCCCACACCCAACTTGTAAACAGCCCCAACCTATCACCACTTAGGTAGCACTTACTGCACCATTGTTCCAACAATAGTGAAACCTCATTTGTATCCTTCTAAAGCTCTTTCCCTTAGTGTGAACCTTGCTAGTAGCTTTGAGGGTTATTTCCAGTTTGGGAGATATGTATACAATAAGCACTTCACCATTAGCTGCTGCAGTCTGGTGGCCCCCAAATCCAAAAGATGTGGAAATGGGAAATGGGGCAAGATCTGGCCAGCTGAACTGATCTCAGAGTTATGTGGCTTATGGACACACAAAAGCAGCTCTTTTCATGTACCTAGAACCACTCTAGCAATGACAACTTCTAACTGGCTAACAGCCAAAACAGACTTCACTTCTGCAAAATATTGTTCCTATAGGGGCTTGCTCCTGGCAGCAAGTAGCTGCCAGATGCAAATATTTTAAAAACTTTGTGCCTTTGAGAATTTTTTTTTTTTTTTGTAGTGACAGAGTCTCATTTTATTGCCCTTGGTAGAGTGCCGTGGTGTCACAAAGCTCAGAGCAACCTCCAACTCCTGGGCTTAGGCGATTCTCTTGCCTCAGCCTCTCGAGTAGCTGGGACTACAGGTGCCCGCCACAATGCCCGGCTATTTTTTGTTGCAGGTTGGCTGGGCCTGGGTTTGAACCCACCACCCTTGGTATATGGGGCCAGCACCCTACCCACTGAGCACAGGTGCTGCCCCTTTCAGAAACTATTTTTAGGACACCTTATATATATAGAAAAATGTTAGTGTGAAATTACAAATACAAGAACAAAAAGGCTTACATCAATAGCCGTTCAATACACTGCACTAAGAAATCCCAGGAGTAAGCAGTAAGACGATGCAGTCTCGTAGGCCATGTTGGAGAAAGACGAAGTATAATCCTCGAAGAAGCCACACATGCAGCAGCTACTAAAGAAGGTGCATAATTTAGAAAGGCATAATCTGTGGAGACACCAAAAATGAACTTAAGCAACAGAATACACAAGACACAAGCACAGAGTCACTTATTAGCATTCATAACAACTCACCTTGCAAAGATACTTCCAAGAAGTAATCTGCATATTTGGCCATATAGAGTTTAGTTTTTTCCAAGCAAATCATTGGCCAGCCATCATGAAGATCTGTTTCATGTACTGCTTCAGAGAGATAATACTCAATGAAATGGGCAGCTGTTGGAAGGCAGAGGTTCCACTGAAACGTTTCTAATAATAATAGTTCCATATGTAGCAAATTTTGTTTTGTTAATACTAGATTCATATTAGTCATACAACCCAGGCTGTTGAGCTGCTCCAGCTTAGGCACACTATCTTCTTTTTCTTCAAATTTACCTTACAAGAAAAGTAGGGAGAGGAGAGAAAATATTAGGCAAGTGATCATTATAGGTTTAGTCAGTAAAATGGGATATGCTACCTTACTGCCAAAATTTGGATCCAAAGATATTCTTTACTCCACCTTTTGAAGATACAGTTGTGCAGAACTCTGTGGTTCTCACATTTCAATGGGGTTTTCTTTCCCAGTGTCACTGTCTTCAACCATTCCCATCCCCTAGAAAACATGCTTGAAACACGTAAACATTTTGAACTGTGTTCTGTTGTATAATGCACCAATGTACACACTGCACTATGTGCCAATGAAAAAACTGCTCTCTCAAATCTCATCAGCCAAATCCTTGCAGGAAATTTGGTTTTTGTAGTTAGGTGGTGGCTGGTTGAAGAAAATTATTTTAGAATAGAAGATAGTTTTAAAAATTTAATGTCATAGCTTTATTTGATATCAAAAATAGTTAAACTTCAGGTATTTCATCTTGGCATATTTTCAGCATAATCACAATTTCAGGGAGAGAGATAGAGACCAGAGGGGAAAACTGGGTGAATTATCACTTCACAAAACACCCCATCCCTCCTCTTCTGAACAAAAATCTAGTTAAGTCTGTTAAAAGAAAAACAAGGAGGGGAAGATACTTAATATATGTTTACTACTACATCGCTAGATAACTTATCTTTTAGATCCTCTTAGGACAATATGATGACAGAACTTCATTTCATAGGCACTGATTTCTTTTCAGGAAAAAACTCATCTATGAGGTTTCAGCTATGTACAGCTAAAGATTCTCTTTCTAGCCCCAGAATAATATTTCCATAGAAGGTATCACCTTACACTGTAATTTCCAAGTAAGCATTTTTCCATACACATAAGGCATTTGTCTTAGGTATTTCTAGAAATGATGGCTAGAGAAAATTCACAAACTATAAAATACCATTATGATTTTCCAGATGTAGCAATAGAACCAAAGCACTGTCCTCAAGTCTCTTTGGGACTTTGTCCAATGGTGGTGGTTCGTAAACAGGAAATTATAACTAAGCCTTCTACCTCTCAGGGTTCCATTCTATTTTATATGTAAGCTTTAGATCAGATAGAAGAGGAAACCACTGTTCTCAATATAATAAAGTGAAGTTCTTCAGAAGAAGAATAACCTGAGAATTTAGTTCAGTCCCTCTGGATGAATCACTATGGCTTTCAAGTAGCCAGCCATTTGTACAGCAGCAGCAATATTGGTAGTGTACTTCAAAGGAATACTGTAAAAATTAATGAATTTATTTATATCATGCTTAAAGTTCCTTTGAAGAAATTAATATACCATAATATGAAACATTCCTGATCCTTGAATTATTTCTTTAAAACTGTCAACATTGGGGGTAAAAAGGTATATAAACAATTTCACTGCTCAAGAAACAAGGTAATAAGGTTGGCCATCTCATTTAAGGTCATATTAAGTCAAACTAAAAATGGAAGTCAAAAGAAAGATTAACATTTGAATCCCCAAATCAGCACCAGGTTTATGGGGGTGATAACTACCAGGAGAATAGACTTCTATATTACTAAGCGTCTATGGGATTTTTATATTTATAAAGTATTTGAATGTTACAAGTATAAAAGACTTTGCATATTGATTTGCAAAGTGAAAAATAACCTCCATACTATGTAAATAACCATACTTGAAATTGTAATTCAGGTTCAAATTTTTTAGAACTTTTTTATTATGTACAGTAATACTCAGTTTAAAGGGCTATAAATAAATAAATACTCATATTAAAGGGCTTTTAAAAGTGTGAAAACCTCAGTGAGCACCTGTATTCATATCTATAGTTTTTGTTGTGCTGAACACTGTATGTGTGGGGTTTTTAAATCTACTTATTCGTAGTACCACACACAGGTCACAAATATCAATTTCTCCAACTGAAAGGAAATACCAGAAGCCATGTGATTATATTGATAAAGGCCCCAAACAGGAAATAAGGGCACAGGAAATTCACATCTGTTTCCCAGAAAATAAAGAATTAGAGGCCACAGAGACAAAAGACCAAGTTGTCTTTCCTTTATAGGAAACATTCTTATCAAACATGGAAACCAACACATTTTCAAAGCCAGCAGTGAATGGTAGGTATGAGGTAGAGAAAATCTATATCCTGACTAGGACATGGATCAGGTGCTATCGTGAGCCAGTCCATATTCTTTTCTTTTATTTACTAAGTGGAGGAAAAAAGTTAACTTTAACATATAGTAAGGATGGTCACAAATTTATAATACTATCAATCTAATATTATATAAAATGGGTAAAGAACAGGAAGAGGTTTATAGAAAAAAAATTATAAATTCATTAAAAATTGAGGTGTGAATTAAACCAACTGTGAGATGTAATTTTTCACTGGTCAGACATTAAAGTTAAAAGCTTTGCTAACCCAGTATTGGTGGGCAAGGGGAAATAGAACTTGTTACAAATTGTTAACTACTAAAAGCCTCTTATTTCATCTTGACTCCAAGATCATTTCTTAATTATCTAAGACCTTGGGAAAATTATCAATAACCCTATCTCCAAGCTTGCTTCCATACTATCCATAAATTTAATGCTGGTCACAGAAGGCAGGGGAAACTAGGGCATACATGTGAAAGAATCAAGGTCCATTTTATAAGTCAGAACCATTAGGACAGAGGAGGCAGGCTGGAGATTACAGATTACAAAACAGCTTAAGGTAGAATTAATTGGTATGATGATAAAAAAATTTATGTTCAATTTCCTATGTACTTTTAAACATATTACCCCACTTGATACTCACAACAACTTAGCTGTAGAGAAATACACTGAGACTCAAAGGGCACTGAAATTCATATAGTGGATGAGAGATTCAAAACCAGAAAATTGGCTCAGAACCCGTAGGACAATGGTTACAGCACCAGCCACATATACTGAAGGTGGCGGGTTCGAGCCTGGCTTGAGATAGCTAACCAACAATGACAACTGCAACAAAAAGTAGCCAGGCATTGTGGCGGACACCTGTGGTCCCAGCTGCTTGGGAGGCTGAGGCAAGAGAATTGCTTAAGCCCAAGAGTTTGAGGTTGCTATAAGCTGTGATGCCACAGCATTCTACCCAGGGTGACATGGTGAGACTGTCTCAAAAAAAAAAAAAAAATATATATATATACACACACACACATATATATCAAAACTAGAAAAATCATCATTATGGTCCCTGCTCTAAAATACTGCTCTCCAATTAGAGATAAACCATAGACCCTTTCTTTCTACTTCTAATAACACAGACACCTGTGTAGCCAGATAAGCATTTGGTGTGCTCCATCTTTGGCTAAACTACCTGCAGCTTCCCAATTTACTCTGTAATTGGAATCCAGCTGTCACCCACTCATGTCAGCTGTAAGCTTCTTCACTTTTATTTAGCAGGACACCCATCCCAAAGCAAGGAGCAGCTGGGGGAGGGGCACACAAAAAGTTCAATCATTCTATAAGGAGAGAGGCATTATTTGAATGTTTCTGGTATCCAAATGTAACAGAGTATAAGAATGTAAGAAACACGAGAATGAACTCCATAAACTGAAACAGACATGGGATACTGAAAACAGGCTATCAGTTTATAAGCATCCTAACCTTTTTGGCTATAAAGTCAAAGACTGGGGATGGGGGGGTGAAGGGAGAGAGGGCTGCAGGCTAAGGGCCATCCTCTTAGATTCCCAGCCCTCTTCTGACCCCTTCCTACTTGGGAGGGGCTGAGATCCTGAAGGACACCTCACACATTCCTACTCTCCAGTGCAAAAGGAAGAATGTAAAAGCAGTTCTTCTCTTTCAGGGAAAAGGGGCTTAGAAGTATCAGTATAAAAGAAGGGGTAAGTATCCAGTTCTTTCATTAATAGGGGATAAACAATTCATATTTGAACCCCATGAAATACAGCCTAGTCATTGGAAAATATAATGACAAATTATAATTTGTCAAAATATAGCCAAAAATAATGACATATTACCAGAGTAAATAATGACATATTATCAATAAAATAAATTGATCACGACCTTAAACTAACAGTAATACATAATTTAAAAAACAAGAATTAAAACTCCATTCCAACCAACCTAAGTAAGAAAGTACACAAAGATGAGCCTCTTATTTGGCCCAAACCACACTTTTAAGAATGGCAGACACAGAACAAGTGGGACACTGTAGTGATGCCCATAGCAGGCAAAAAGTCACTTTCCACTAATGATCCCAAGTTTTAAAATAACCTAACTTGCATGTCTGATTGCTGGTGTGTTTCTACTATAAACTGATACTGTAATAAACTGCCATTGTGTGGAATACTATTAAACCCCAAAGGGCTTCATAGCCAGGGATGAAACATATAGTATTAGACACATGATTAATACGAGCATGAAACTTTAATTAAAGGTTAAATTAAAGGTTAATTATAAATGTACAAGCATTGCCTCTCTGGCTTCTGGGTGGGGAAGTGGAGTGGGTGATGCGTCTGGATCTTAGAACAATAGATTAAAGAGGAAAGAAATATAGATATAGGAAGTAAATAGTATTGTGCTGAGAATTTGGCTTAAAGTGCATGGGGATAGGGTTGGATGAGCTTAGAAAGGTAGCTGGGTCCAGGGGAAAGGTCCTCAAGAACACATTAAGCAAATTTCACCTTAACACACAAGTAGTAGGGAGCCACCACTGTGGCTGTGTTTTATTTACATTCAGTCTAGGTCTATAGGGATTTGAAATAACTTATAAAAGGATATTCAAGGAGACAAAAGTTGGGTCATCACATCAAAAGAATGAGGGCAGGGCTCAGTGCCCATAGCTCAGTGGTTAGGGCACTGGCCACATACATAGAGCCTAGTGGGTTTGAACCCAGCCCAGGCCTGCTAAACAATGACAACAACAACAAATAGCTGGGCATTGTGGCGGGCACCTGTACTCCCAGCTACTTGGGAGGCTGAGGCAAGAGAATCACTTAAGCCCAAGAGTTTGAGGTTGCTGTGAGCTGTGATGTTCCAGCACTCTACTGTGTGCTACATCATGAGACTTTGTCTCAAAAAAAAAAAAAGAAAAAGAAAAGAATGAGGGCAAGAAAATAAAATCTGAAAAGAGAACAGTATCAGAGATGCTACCACATAGGACTGCATTTGGTTTTAGGTTAATTAATAGTCAAAGCACAGAGGTGTTTTAGAAGGAACTCTAGTGGCATGAGTGTAGGGGTAATGTTCATTAGACAGTAGCCATATTAGATTCCAAACCCTCAAGTAGGGCTCAGAGGTGAAGGGTATCAGTATATTTACATACTACTTTGAAATAGGGCTTAAACTTCTATCATAATGACATGGATAATATAAAAATTATTAGCAATTCAACTTCAATATCAAATACAGTCTTTTCATATTACGAAAAGAAGAAAAAACTCAATTGCAATTTCTGTACTTGCCCTCTCTCTTCAGTGAGAGTACTAACAAGCAAAGAAATGAGTTACAGGAAGATGTTAAGAGAAAGGGGCCCCCAAAGGGTAATCAATACACTCTGTATTGGGTAACAAATATGGTTGTATCAGATTGTATCTTGAAGCCTATTACATAGTTGGCCTAATGCGTAAGTGAAGGTTTTCGAATTTGTAGCAGTTGCATGTAAACTTTCTGCTCATTAAGCCAACTCGTTAGGTGGTCAGTGCAAAGTATTCTAATAATATAAGAGTATGGTACCTTTAAGTAAGACTTTTTCAACTCCAGCTCCATCGATGTTTTGGGCCAGAGAATTCTTTGTTATGGGGAACTGTCCTGTGTACTACAAGATGGTAAGTGGCAACCCAGGCCTCTGTATACTAGATACCAATAACATCACCCTAGGATGCGACAACCAAAAATGTCTACAAGTGTCCCTTGTGGGACAAAATTGTTCCTGGTCAAGAATCACTACTTTAAAACAGTGGTTCTCAATTGGAAAGGCACATCAGAATCACTTTTGGAACTTTTAAATTAAAAGTTAAAAGATACTCAAGCTCCATTATGTAGATTCTGACTTAGTAGACCTGATAGACATTTGTTATCAGAATTTTCAGGATATTCGGCTTAGGCACATGTTTTTATAAGACTCCAGAGGCTGGGTGCCATGGCTCATGCCTATAATTCTAGCACTCTGGGAGGCTGAGGCAGGTGGACTGCTTGAGTTTGAGATCAGCCTAAGCAACACTGAGACCCTGTCTCTACTAAAAATAGAAAAACTAGCTAGGCATAGTGGTGGGCACCTATAGTTCCAGCTACTTGGGAGGCTGAGGCAGGACGATCGCTTGATCTGAGTATTTTGAGGTTGCTGTGAGCTACAATGATGCCATGGCACTCTACCCAGGGCAACACAATGAGACTCTATCTCAAAAAACAAATAAATAAATAAATAAATAATGTCTTAAAAACTGTGCCAGCATGTTCAACATAAGCTTCTTGACACTAGAAATGTGGAATGAATGAGGTTTCTGATTTTTCTGAGGTGTACATAAGTTTATTTTATTATATAAACCACAGGAATTTCCAGTCATGTAGATCAGATCCATACTTACTTGCTAGAAGTAGACAGGAAAGCGCAACTAAATGCAGCTGCTGGATGGAGATGTCATAGCGATCCATAAACAGGTCCAGCAAATAGACAGCAAGATGTCGGGCTGAAGGGCAAAGCGTGAAACGATTGCTCACAATGGCAATCAAGTCAGCAAAATACCGTCTGAGACTTAGTTGAGGGGACTGGCCTTTGTAAGAGGGCAACTTCAGCTCCTAAATCAAGAGGAACAACATTTAGTCTGACACATCTGTAGAAGTATCCTTACAATGCAAAGATTTAACATTGTTTTTCCAGTATATTACTGTTACACAATGCCCAAAACATACTTTTCTTGAGTGGAACACAAAAATGAAAATTTGAATGGAAGGATAATGAATGGCATTTAAAATGTGAGTTAAAATCAAACTTTTCTCCTTATTCTTAACCACCTCTGATGAGACCAATTACAGGCATTTCTTGCTTTATGAAACTGACACATTGTGGAAGGATTTTTAGAAAGGCAATCCTGTTTTCCCTACCATGTGTTTTCAGAAAAACAACCTTACCAAAAAAAAAAAAAAACAAACAAACAAAAAAAAAAACCCAACAACAAAAAAAAACAACCATTCAACACAAACAAACTCCTCTCCATGAAGTTCAAAGCTTTTGGTTAGAAAGTAAATGGCTATGCTCCTGGCAAATTGCATAGTGTATTATACTTACAGTGACATAGAGACTAATATCCATCTTACTAGTATCTTCTAATTTTGTTTTGTTTTCCTTTAGCAATGTTATGATCTCCCCTTTGCCACCATCCCCTCATACACCTAAAATCATCTTTCAATCTCTGGACTATAGTACATATATTAACTATATCAACTTATTTTTTTTAAACTAGGAAATTTTTCTACTAGTAAAGGATTTCTAGAGCATAGAGAAAGATAGAAAGTTTCCAAATTGATTTTATAGGTCAGCAAAATGCTGACACTAAACCCAACAAGATAAAATAGTAGGAGGCAACACTGATATAATCCCAAAAGCACAGGCTAAAAAAAAAAGAGAGAGAATTGGACTTTATCTAAATTAAAAATTTATCCAAGAACACTATCAACAGAGTGGAAAGACAACTCACAGAAAGGAAGAAAACATTTACAAATCCTATCAGATAAGGAGTTAATTCTAGATTATATATAAAAAAGCTACAAATGAACAAAATAACCAACCATATTAAAAATGAACAAAGGGCTTGAACAGACATTTCTCCAAAGAAGATATACAAATGCCCAACAAGCAAATATGAAACATGAAAAAGATAGTCAACTTCACTAATCATTAGGGAAACGTAAATCAAAACCACTAAGAGACCACTTCTCACACACATTAGGACTGCTATTATTAAAAACAAAACATAAAACCCAGAAACAAGTGTTGGTGTGCATGTGGAGAAGAAACTGGAACTCTTGTATATTACTGGTGAGAATGTAAAATGGTGTAGTTGCTGCAGATAAGAATATAGCAGCCCCTCAAAAAATTAAACAAAGAATTACCACGTGATCCAGCAATTCCACTTTTAGGTATATACCAAAAAAACTGAAAGCAGCGACTTGAGCAGGTATGTGTATACCCATGTTCACAACAGCATTATTTATAATAACCAAAAGGTGCAAATTACCTAAATACCCATTAGTAGATGAATGTCTAAACAAAACGTAGTATAGTTACACAATGGAACATCATTCACCCTTAAAAAGGAAATTCTGACATACATTCATCTACATCAGTGATTTTTAACTGATATGCCACAAATGCTTTCACAGATGATTAAATTATTTCCAGAAGTACAAAGCACAGTAAGTATATTCTTTTCTTTACTCTTTTTCTTTTTTCTGAGAAACAGTCTCAGTAAAGTGCCATGATGTCACAGCTCATAGCAACCTCTAACTCTTGGGCACCAGTGATCCTCTTGCCTCAGCCTCCCAAGTAGCTGGGACAACAGGTACCCTGCCACCTGGCTATTTTTAGAGATGGGGTCTTGCTCTTGCTCAGGCAATCCATCTACCTCTGCCACCCAAAGTGCTAGGATTACAGGCGTGAGCCACTGTACCCAGTCTTTACTCTTTTTTTTAATCAACGTAATTTAAATGTACCACTAAAGCTTAACATTAGGATCAAGTGTGCCATGAGATTAAAGAAAGGTTGAAAACCACCGATCTACATGGATGAACCCTGAACAAAGTATGCTAAGTGGAAAAAAAAGGGCACAAAAGACATTTATTATATGATTCCACTTACATGAGGTACCCAGCATAGTCAAATTCATGGGATAGAAAGTAGACTGGTTATCAAGCGCTGGAAAGTCAGAAATTGGGAGGTACTGTTAAATGGGCATGGAATTTCAGTTTGGGAAGATGAAAGAGTTCCAAAGATGGAAAGTGGTAATGGCAGCACAACAGTGTAAACGTACCTAATGTCACTAAACTGTACCTTTAAAAATGGCTAGAATAGTAAGTTTTAGGTTATGTATACTTTATAATAAGCAAAAACAAAGGGAAACTACATATTAATCTAACTTAACATTACCTAATATAAATAGATAAAATAGTCGCCAATGTAATTTAGTAGTGTATCCAAAGAATACATCATCATCAACTGTAGCATCCCAGGAATGTTAAGGATGGTTCATTATTAGGAAACCTGTAAGTTGCAATAAAAATTCACACATAAATATGCACAATCATCTTGACAGATGCCAAAACAGTATCTGCAATAAAGGTAACCCTGGGAGAGAAGAGATGTACATCTCTTTGAGGAACAGGAAGGAAGGAAGTAGAAAGATCTCAAATATAATAGCCAGCATCTCACTTGGAGATGAACCAACAGAAGGATTATCATTCTAGCACCCACTATTGGCAATGTTATATTTAACATTCTGTGAGTACTAACCAAATAGAAAAAGAAGAAAAAGGTGTAATTTTTAGAAAGGAAAAACCAAAGGTAATTTTCAGGAGCAAAATTATTACTTTTCAGATAGTAGAATTTACATCAGAAAGCCCAAGAAAAATCAAGAGAAAAAAATAAAGAGAAACAGTAAGAATTCAGTAAGATGTCTGATTACAAAATTAGTATAAAAAGTCAATAGCTCTTCTTTATACTAATAATCACTCTGAATTAACTATAAAAGTGAAACACTTAGAAATAAAATTTACACATGCCAGCACTATATGAATATTAATTTACTTTAAAATTCTGATGAGGTATGGACCACTTACATACATGGGCAGACATTCCTTTTTCTTGGTTAGGAGAACATATATGGTAACAGTGGCATATCAGATAAGGAGAGAATAGATGCATTTAATATTTCTGCCACATATGACAGAGGACTAATTTCTTTGTTATTCAGAAAACTCTTGTTTATAAATCAGTAAGAAAAAGGCAACAAATATGGATAGTTTAACCCACAAACTTTATGGCCACCCAATATATAATATAATTCTTATCTAATCTAAATTTAAAGAATTATACAGTTCATTAAAATGTTACCACTGGGGGAAATTGGATAAAGGGTATGGTGAAATCTTTCTTATTACTGCAAGTGAGTCTACAGTAATTTCAAAATAAGAAGTTTAATTTAAAAAGGCTCAATGTCTAATAGGGAACTGGTTAAATAAACTGTGAGGCACTGATTCAAAGTGGCTCTTTAAAATAAAGGGCAGTACAACTATCTGTGTTGGTAAGGAAAAATCTGATAAATTAAGGGTGGAGTTTGAGAAAGGTATAGAACAATGAATATGTATCATGACGTCTGTATCAACAACAAAAACATTTTACTAGAAGGTATATTAATGTATTAGGTATATTTTCAGGAGAAATAATAGTGGTAGTAACCTTAGAGGACCAGGGACTAATAGGGGTTGGATGAGGCTCATTTTGAGACCTTCCCATACAATCTGAAGTTTTTTTGAACCATGTGCATGCATTACATAATTTTTTTTTTTTTTGAGACCGAGTCTCACTACATCACCTTGGGTAGAGTGCCTCGGCGTCACAGCTCACAGCATCCTCAAATTCCTGATCTCAAGTGATTCTCTTGCCTCAGCCTCCCAAGTAGCTGAGACTACAGGTGCCCACCAAACACCCGGCTATATTTTTGTTTCAGTTGTCATCATTGTTGTTTAGCAGGCCTGGGCTGGGTTCAAACCAGCCAACCTTGGTGCATGTGGCTGGCACTGTAACCACTGCACTATGGGCACCAAGCTCTGGCTATTTTTGTGGTAGTTGTCATTGTTGTTTAACAGGCCCGGGCTGGGTTTGAACCTGCCTGTCTCAGTGTATGTGGCTGGTGTCCTACCCAGGCACCTGATCTACAGGCACCAAGCCTATTACTGAAAAATGTTAAGAAGTATTAACAGGGGTTACTTAATGGACTAATAGGCCATTTTATGGTTTTAATTTTTGTATAAGTGAGAAAAGCCTACAACACTATTGAAAAAAAAAAAAACAGGGCGGTGCCTGTGGTTCAGGGGGTAGGGCACTGGCCCTATATACCAAGGGTGGTGGGTTCAAACCCGACCCCGGCCAAATTGCAACAACAACAAAAATAGCTGGGCATTGTGGCGGGCGCCTGTAGTCCCAGCTACTCAGGAGGCTGAGGCAAGAGAATCACCAAGGCACTCTACCGAGGGCGATAAAGTAAGTCCGTCTCTACAAAAAAAAAAAGAAAGAAAAAGAAATCTATTTATTCAAATAAAGGGAACACGCTGATTTCTCATGTAGCTTAGATTTTTCTGTTATTCTACTTCTATAGATCTTGACAATGGTATAAATGAGTTGCAACTTTACCTTTGCTGCCATCACGTGACATTTACTAAGCATCTCTCATGTAGCAGCGGGCACTATGCTAACCCCCAGGGATAAAGGCTGGAAAAATCTCAAGTCTCTCTGTAGCAGGTGAATCAAATAGAGAATATATATAGTAATCATAGGCTACTATGGAAATATAGAGGAAGGCAATCTAACTCAGCTCAGAGGGTGGAAGTTGGGGGGAAAAAAAGCCAGGGTAAATTTTTTGACCATGGTCTTAAAGCAGGAGTGTCCAACCTTTCCCTTTCCTCTGCTGCACAATGGAAGAAGAGTTAAGAGTTGTCTTGGGCCAAACATAAAATACACAAACACTAACAAAAGCTGATGAGGAAAAAAAAGTCCATGAATACTTTTCATGTTATCTGATACAGATAAGCAAAAAAAAGTCCTCAGAAAAATCAACATACAGGTTGGACACGGGTGTCTTTTTTTTTTGTAGAGACAGAGTCTCACTTTATCACCCTCGGTAGAGTGTGGAGGCATCACACAGCTCAAGCAACATCCAACTCCTGGGCTTAGGCGATTCTCTTGCCTAAGCTTCAGAGTAGCTGGGACTACAAGTGCCTGCCACCACACCCAGCTATTTTTTTGTGGCAGTTTAGCCAGGGCCGGGTTTGAACCCACCACCCTTGGTATATGGGACCCACGCCCTACCCACTGAGCCACAGGCACTGGCCCGGACACTAATGTCTTAGGGACTCCCTGGGAAACATAGGTGGAAAAGATCAGTGGACTTTATTTTTAACTATGTTACCTTTACTAAGGTCTATCAATAGGAGATTTTTAACAATGTGTCCAACATTCTCTATATGTGCTTTCAAATGATAAAGTACAGGGTATGTCAGATGACTGTCGACTTCATTCTCTTTGTCCAGGTTGCAGTCTTACATGCATAAGAAAATGACTCCTGCGTCTCTCAGTTTATAAGCTTCTTCTATCTATTCCTGATCCCCTAGAATTGAACACACTTGTCCAATCTTGTTCATATGTTTCTCGGGAATCCATAAAACCAAAGCACATAGCATTATCTCCAGTTTCAAGTGTGTATCAGCTCACCCCCTCCCAAATGCCATCCCTTTCCCAGAATGGAACTATCCAGGTAGGATTGAAATAAAGGCCTAAAAGGAATACTCAGAAGCATAAATACAACTCTATGCGATATATATTTTCTTGCTAGAATTGTTCCCATTTGTCATTAAGGCTCCTAAAAATACTTTCCCTCACAGCCTATGACGCCAAGTATATATAGCAAAATGATGAGAAGAAAACAGAATAAAAGGAGACAGCTACTTTGTAGGTTTTTTTTTTGGCGGGAGAGTAAATTATGTTTCACAAAAAAACAGTATAGCTGGCATGAGAATTTCCATTCATTGTAATTTTCACTCCTCCTTAGTAGATACAATGCAGGTTAGACCAATTATTTCTCCACAAACCTTGGGTCTAAACATAGAATGCATTCTGTAGTATTCAAATGACAAATGCCCAAAGGAAGACCTAAATTTGGGTACTGTAAATTATAAAAAGATTAGACTATGAATAGCCTGGAATAAACGTGTCTTTTCTATAGAAAAATTCATTTTAACTTTTCCTTGACTTGAGTTTACTGCAAATAGTGGTCTCTCTGGTTCTAGTTTAAGTTTTTCTGATTAAAGTAAATTCTTTATAAAGTGTTACCAATGTGTTAAATCATGAACATGGTTTACATAGTGCTTTATTTTTAAAGACAGCTCAGGGCAGCATGCCAAAGGTGGCCCAAGACAACTTTCAGTGCCATTCTTTTTTCCTCTGATAGTCCTTAATCAACTTAAATGCAGAGTTGGGTCTTACTCCTTGAATCCTCCGGAGACTAATGCACAAAAGCATTCAACAAATCTGATTTTTAAAAAAAAGTATTGACTTTCTCAACTGACAAAATTAATTCGGAAAAACACTCAGGATTAAAATTATCTACACACATAAAAAATAAAAAATGTAAAAGTGTATGTATAATTAACATCAGATAATTAATTTCACCACATACCAGAGGGATAAAGAGGCTAACACTTAAAAGAACTTTTAAAAATATGTAGAATTATATATCAATTTTTTAAAAAGAAAAGAACACTTCAAACTGAAAGATGACATCTGAAAAAAAAAATTTAAACAATTTTCAAAGTAGAAAACCTACAACTCTCTTCCTAACACTCCAGAGGTTCCATAGTTGAAATTATTATTATTATTTATTTATTTTTTTTTTTTTTTTGCAGTTTTTGGCCGGGGCCAGGTTTGAACCCACCACCTCCGGTGTCTGGGGCCAGCGCCCTACTCCTTTGAGCCACAGGCACTGACCCATAGTTGAAATTTTATGTGGTACAAATAAATGATCTCTCCTAAGGGGCTGCAGTGTATTTAGCATGTCTAAGAGACTGAGTATCAGAATTAATAATTAGCATTTAGAAATCTCAACCTAAAAAAGTTTGTAACAATTTAAGTCAGAATTAGGTTTTTCAATCTATTTAACCTGGTCAGAAACTCAAGATATGGGTTCACTATCATTTCAGGATCTCTCAACTTCAAGAGTCAGAATCCCTTTTATTAAAGACTCAGCTGTTTGGCTTTTTTCTCAGTTTTCTACACTTAACAAATGGCTGTCTCTATCCAAGATGAAATTGAGTTAGGCTAGAGATCGTTTTGAATCCAGTCTCTCTTCTGATTATGAAGCAGAACTGTCTCATTAAGTGGTCTTGTGACATGCAGAGCAAAAGTGCAATTTAAGAGCAACAATACACAGACTTTGCTTTGTGCTGGAAAAGTGTATTATTTCCCAATATCTATTAAGTATCCTAAGTCTACTTTTCTGACTTTGATATTAGCATGAGGAAGCAGCTAACTCCTTCCACCTTAAGCCTTTCTGGATAGCCCAAATCTTGGGGAGTAATATTAGGAGTTATCACTTAGCCAACCACTATAAGCCAAACACTGATCTAAGCACATGCATGCTACCAACCTACTTAAATTTCACAATCGCCTCAATCATAAAGTACATTCCATTATTACTCCTCACTTTACACATAAGGACACTGAAAACTAACACATCCAAGTCTCACAGCAAGTGAAAGCCTGGGAATTTAAGTACAAACGCGAGTTATATCCACCAGCAACCACAGATAAACCAAGGAGGCTGCTCTGCCCAATAAAAATTCAGCATACGTATCTTTTTAAATATAAGATCAAATTCACGTTCCACCTGGAAACAAGAACATCAAAATGTTCATTTCCATCGTCTCTTTTCCAACTACCACGCCCCCCCATCCCCCTTAAGCGGCAGGTTCTTCTGATACGTCCCAGGGAAGGAGACAAGAAGTCAATTAACCTTGACCGAGTAAGCAAACTCGCCCTTTCTGGCCTGGAAGGTAATGAGTAAGGAAGGAAGCCGAGATTCCAAGCGCGAGACACCGAATGGGAAAGTCGGGCCTCAAGAGTTACCTTATACCGAAGCGCTTGGTGAATATCAGCAGCCAGCTGTCCTCGCCACCACTGCCCCTCCAGCTCCATGGGCCCCGGCGGCGCGCCTAGCCAGACGCGGCAACTTCTGTCTGTAAAACACAGCCCAGACGCGGTCACCGCCAGCTCCTTGCCCCACCGACCCTTCGTGCCCCTTCCCCATCTTCACCTGACTCGCCCTAAACCCAGCACCGATCCAGACCCATCCTTAACCCCACACGTAAGGCCCGATCTGCCACTCAGGAGGAGCTGCCTATTCTGGGCACTGCCCAAACTGGTGTCGGGCAAAAGGGGATCGACTCGTGCCCCAAGTTACCAATGTGTGGCCCTGGGTGCCAGCCCAGGAAAAGCTGGAGCGGGAGGCTTGGCATCCTGCAACCTGCGCCCGGGGGTCGAACTATCCCGCCGGCTCTAAGGAGCAGACGAAAAACTTAACACTAGTCACGGCCCAGCTATGGTGAAAAGCTTTCCCGAGAAATCCGGAGGTCAATATCTGCCTGGCTGTGGGGGTCCGACCCTGCTGCTGACCATCCCGCGCTTGCTCCTCCTCAGGAGCCCCGAGGAACTCCCGGGACCGCGCGGCCCCAGAATGGCGAACAAAAGGCCGGGCCGATCAGGCTCCGCGCCTTGCCCCGCGAGGGTCCGGTGCCCTGCAGGCCCGCCCGGCCTCGCGGCAGCTCCCTTACCCGGAACCAAGGCCCTCACAGCCCCAGCCCCACCGGCGTGCGAGGGGTGCCGGCCCCGCTCATGCTGCGGACAGTCGGCCGCGAAGCGCCGGCCTCAGCTCGGGCCCAGCGCCTGGGCGCTCGCGCCGCCCATTGTTAAAAGACCGGCAGGCGGCTCCGCGTACAAAGCCAGAGCGGGGCACAGGCAGCCCCGCCGCTGCCAATCTCGTCTCGCGATACAGTGGGGTCGCCCCGAGCCGTCCAATCGGCTGCCGGGCCGGGCCCAGGTGCGGCGCCGCTGAGCCCCAGCCTGGACCCGGAGGCATCCCAGTCACCGCGGTGCGGCCTGTGCTTCGGTCGTCCGACACTCCTGCCACCACCCAGCCCGAAGCTGGCCTGGGAGCGGCTAAATTCGGAAGAGCACCGGAGAAATTATAACATTGATCACTGCAGTGGCCAATCCACCCAGGCTGCTTACCTGCTGAGAACCTTGGATGGCTCCCTGGTGCCCACGGAGGAAAGGCCCCACGATCTCTCACTTTGGCATTTAAAAACCTTCACAGCGTGGATTCAATTTGTCTTATCTCATATTGCAACAGCCCATATATTTTAGGGGTTGCTTAGTGGAATTATCAATCTTTTCAAATGTGCTTTAGCTGTTTGAGCAGTCCCTAAGGCACTTTTTCTGAGAAAGTATGATCTCTTTAAGTTCCACCTCAAGACTCAGGCTTCTTTCGGAAACCTAATTAATCGCTTCTTCCTTCGTATTTCCTTAGCTTTAGATAGAGATTCCCAAGAGCTTTGAATGAAGGGAATTAAGATTACCTTTAGTAACCTCGCTTGTCAAATCCATAGTGGATATAATTAACCATCTGTGGTTGTAAATCAGGAAACTGCAAAACTGTGAAAACACTCCAACATCAATTAAAGTGATTTGGGAGCAGAATTGTGATTAGCAGAAACCGAATCAATTGTATTTTAACCTGTTTGGTGGACTATCACAAAAGGAGTGGATGGTCACAGTAGGACAATGATTTCCCACTTTACTGAAACTGTAGATCAACCTCTTTTAATATTGAAAGTTAAAGCCCTACCCCTTTTACTTTGAATCCTTCATCCACAAGGATGTATAATAGTAAAGACCGTAGGTGGTAAATGGGCGTTAAGTGTATATGGGTTTTATTTATCACAATGGCATCTTCATACACTTAAGGAAATGCAGCAGACATGTATATGAGCCCTCGTTCATCTGTAGACTATGCTTACTCCCGGGAAAGCAGGACTATTGGAACCAATGGCAAGAAAAGGGAAAGTCAGAAGCAGAGGTTGGCAGAGCCCAGTATCATCCAGGGAGAGGGTTCTCCGGCTTATTTTAGTTGCAAAGGTTTCTCTAGAAAGGAGATAGAAACAAGGCTAACAGCTCTATCCCAGGGCATTTAAATAGTTACATCCTCAGGTTCCAATTCATGACTAATGAGCAACTTTATAACATTAATTTGGCTTCCAAATGACCTAAATATCCAGGGCCTATTTAAGAATCATTTTCACCGGTGGCGCCTGTGCTTGGTGGGTAGGGCGCCAGCCCCCATAAACTGAGTGTGGCGGGTTCAAACTCGGCCCTGGCCAAACTGCAACAAAAAATAGCCTGGTGTTTTGTCAAGCGCCTGTAGAGCTACTCAGGAGGCTGAGGCAAGAGAATTACCTAGGCTCAGGAGTTGGAGGTTGCTGTGAGCTGTGACACCATTGCACTCTAACGAGGGTGATAAAGTGAGACTGTCTCTTAAAAAAAAAATCATTTTCAGAAAAATAGGTCACTCCAATCAATAAGTCTCTCATGGTTTCTACTTTGAAGGTATTGTTCAATGGGAGATATTTATTCAGAAATCATTCTTAAGATTTTCTGGATTTGCCTCATGTGATGAGAAGACTTCAATGTTCATTTCCTTTTTATAGATTATGTTCATTTTATAGACATTAATCAACACACACATACATGTACATATGTACATATATAGACACAATATGTCTTAAATTATAAATCCCTAAGAGGTAAATTTCAAGTTTATTATGATTTCTCTTTGAATTCCTACAGACCAGTAGTTCTTAACCTTCCTAATGGCATGGCCCTTTAATACAGTTCCTGTGGGCCATGACCCACCGGTTGAGAACCGCTGCTTTAGACCAAGGTGGACACAGTTAAGGTATATTTACTTAATTCCTAAATAAAATAAAGTCTCTCATAGAGTTTGAATAGAAGAAAGAAACATATTGAGCAACAAAAAAATATGTCACTTGGTGACAAGTGCTATGAAGAAAAACAGAAACAGAGATAAGAAAGTAAGACCATGGTTAGACTTTGTTTTATGATAAGGTGAGGCATGAAGGCTTGAGGGAAGTGAGGGAGCATGCACAGATGTGGTGGCTGGGCCTTCCAGGCAGAGGAAATAGCAAATCTGTAAGGAGAAGGCATGTTTGGCATGAAAATAGAGGCCAGTGTATGTCTGCAGTGAAGAGGAGGAGATAGGAAAGACATTCCACTGTCTTCCTACAGAAATCACTGTAGGAAGCAGTGATCAGCAAAGGTATAAAAGGATGGAAGTCAAAAAGCAGAGCATCTACATACAGAGCAGAAATGGAAACTGTGAAGTCTGGTGGGACTGCAGCATAAAACACAGGTAGGCTTGGCAAGAGAGGGAGGAACCAGATTCTTTGGAGAACTTTTGTAATTCATTTATCTTTAGGCAGTGAAAGGGCATTTACTTTAAATTGTTTATTGAAATTTTTTAAATGAATGCATGCAAAAAAGGTCAGACATTCAGACAGCAGAAGACTATATATAGCGAACAGCAGGTCTCCCTGCCTGCTATTCACTGTATATAGTCCCAGGTCTTCCCAAAGGCAATGCTATTACTCTTTTCTATTGTACCTATCCAGAGATATCCAGGTATCTCTGACCGTGCATTATCTATAACCCCTTTTGTAAACAAATGGTAGCACATTACACACTGTCTTGTGTATCTAGTTTTCCTCATACAGAATATTCTAATAAACATTCCATAATAGAATATCCACAATTCGTTTCAATGGCTACATTGTATTCTGCTGGATGCAAAGGAGAGAAGTCCTGGGCTCTGGTTCTTTGTTGTTCTTGGGTCTTGATTTGCTGCTATTTGTACTATTCAACTCATTTCAACTATTATTCATATCCACCATCAACATCCTTGCCTAAGGTACCATCATCACTCAACTTGGACATGTATGATAGTCTCTCCTTTCCCCAAAACGTTTGTCACCTAGCAAGTAGCTGGAGTGGTCATGAAAATGTAAACCATATCTGTTACGAACTTGATATGGAAGAGTTCCTAGATTATATTTCCAAACTGTTGCAGCCTGCTGCAACAGAATGTTAAGGATAATTTTAAAGGCTATTTTCAAAAATAGGTGCCAGAATATGTAGACATTTATAATCTGTAATTTCCAAATTTTAAATTGCTATATAAGATTATAGTTGTGGATAAAATGAATATGATAGTTAATTTTACATGTCAACTTGACTAGGCCACAAGGTGCTTGGTATTTGGTGTAACATTATTCTGGGTGTTTCTGTGAAGGTTTTTGGATAAGATTAACATTTGGATCATAGACTAAAAGCAGATTGCCTTTCCTAATGTGGGTGGTCCTCAGCTGAAGGCCCGAACAGAATAAAAAGGCTGACCCTCCCTTTAGTGAGATGGGATTCCCACTTCCTGATTTTTGTGAGCTGGGATTTAAGTCTTTTCTAGCCTTCAGATTCAAACTGAAACATTAGCTCTTCCTGCCTCTGGAGCCTGCTGGCTTTTGACTGGAACTACCGGTATATGCTGATTCTCCTGGTCTCTAGCTTGCTGACAGCAGATCTCGGAACCTCTCAGCTTCCATGATCATCTTAGCTAATTCCTTAGTTTACATATCTATATATGTATTTTTCTGATATAAATGATTAGAATATTTATGCATATACATGAATATATAGACATGCACATACTGATCCTATTGGTTCTGTTCCTCTGAAGAACCTTTATGCAATGGATTAAACAGACTTCACCCTGTTTCTCCCACAATCTGGACAGACGGCATGGAAGAGCTATTTGAAGACACTGAAAAGTAAATAGTAGCAGGCAGCTGGGGAAGACTATAATTTGTATTATCACCACAATGGTGGTGAGTTATCCATTCTTCCACCAAGATCACCTAACCTGGAGTCATGTAGCCTAAAATCTAGCAGTGGGCACAGGGACACAGAGAGAACGCTAGGAGGATCCCTTTTGTCATGAGGAGCAGGAAAGGAATCTTTTTTTTGAGACAGAGTTTCACTATGTCACCCTTGGTAGACTGCTCACAGCAACCTCAAATTCTTGGGCTTAAGTGATTCTCTTGCCTCAGCATCCTAAGTAGGTGGGACTACAGGCGCCTGCCACAATGCTGGGCTACTTTTTGTTGCAGTTGTCATCACTGTTTAGCTGGCCTGGGCCAGGTTCGAACCTGCCAGACTTGGTGTATGTGGCTTGACGCTGTAATCACTGTGCTACGGGCGCCAAGCTGGAACGGCATCTCTTAATTAATGTGAGGGAATCTGTGCTGCCCAGGCTGAACTTGGATTCCTCGCCTCAAGTGATCCTCTCACCTCAGCTTCTCAAGTAGCTGGCATTATGGGGCCTGATGGGTTCAGTCTGTCTTTTTTTTTTCTCCTTTCTGTCCTGCTCTAGCCCCTAAGCAGTCCACAGTAGATTGACAGTAGCCATAACAGTGGGGATTAGGACCCACAGGTGTCTAAAACTTGAGGAAAGGGAGCTTCCTATCTCGAGGAGTTGTGGTTGCTTTTTTATTCTTTGTTCTCCCACTGCTTCGCTCTGGATGGAAGTATGATAGTGAGAGAAACAGGCAGAGAGGTATTAACTAAAATTCCAGTTTTATAGATGGAAAACCAAAAAGAAGGGATCCCAGGAAAGTGAAAAGTACTAGGGAGACCATGAAGAGGAAGGAGAAATTTGGAAAATGATCCCACAAAATCGTTATAAACAACTGGGCTTACCTCTGAGTTGTGAGTACATAGATCTGGAAAAATCAAAAACTTTGAGAACTGCTCAAATCTCAGGCTGGCCACTGAGCAGTACACACATGTGACAGATCTGAGTAGCACTAAAACTCTTTGAAAATGGAACTGACTTTGAAATTACAATTCACAGAAGGCTTGCCAGAACTTGCAGCCTGAACCCAACCAGGTTGATTCCTTGCTACAACAAAAGTTGTCAGAATTC